CAAGTGATGGGATCAGTCATACAGTTACAGGGTCAACAATGAATAGTTAGTGAAAGAAAAAGAATCCCCCCCTCTGCTGATGTAACAATGGCAATGCCTAGCAATTGGCTGATTTTCTCTGTTACCTTCATTAACACCATTGCTTAATTGTGTTAGGAAGAGTTTCCAAATGCAAAGCAGGTTACATTAGATAAATATTTCTCTACCTAGATCTTCCTTATGGAATGACTTTACTTGTACCTGTAATATGTCACACTCCTGTGACACATGTTATTTTGCATGAAATCTAATAATGCATTGGACTTGGGCTGGTCCCAACTCAATGCATTATGAGCTTATCAACTGTACATCAAGGATTATTATAGGTGCTGATTTGCATTGTTATTTACAATACAGAGGCAACAATGTATCATAGCACTCTAGAGTAAAACTACTAAATTAAATGTTCTATACTATCTTACCAGTAGCAAAGTTCTCATAGTGTTTACATCATTTACAAGGATCTAAAATATTTGACAACCTTGAACAGAATTACAGGCAAGTATGCTGCTCAAAGTATACTTTTGCAGCTGCAAGAGCATCTCTCAACTGACCAATGTTTACACCCACACCTTGCACACTTTCATCTTTTCCCCCAGCCTACAAAATACAATGAGCATCACTCATTCATACATTATCTGATTTCAACCATACCTTGCCCCCTAAAATATCTGTGACCACTGCAGCCCAGTTCCTAGCATCCAAACCTTTTGCCTTAGCAGCCTCAGACACACAATTGATATGTCCCACTTTGCCTTCAGCATAGTCAGAGCTGAAAACATAGACTGATTTTCCTAACTTTTTTGCCTGCTGGGCAACTGCCTGTAAAACCTATACCAACATGTCAGTGCATCCTAACCGAGGGAACAACTGACAAGACCTTTGTATTAGCAGTGACATCAAGAATTGCAAAATATGCGTCGGAACCCGGGTTAGCTTCGAAGTAGGCGAGTACATCAGATGCAGCCTGCAACAAGCCTCATGATATTCTGCTTAGAAGCACTGATGCTGGTTAAGAGACTCACGGCTCTGATCGTAGTCGCCTCCTTCTCCTTCATCTCCCGATCAAAAACCTTGCGTACCACGGCAAGACGATCACGAAGTTCAGCCTTCTTCAGCACCGAAATGTCCGCTTGACCAAGATCCTGCATTGTGGGGAAGGTGAGTGCCTTCGAAGTATTATTGTACCGTCAAACTAAACATACAAACGTAAATGCTTTCAATCCCGTATCCTTCTCGATACTATTCATCGTTTCTAGCCGATTGAGTTGTGCTTGTAGCGCATTCGCCTTCTGACGTGCCTGCGCAGCTTCATGTCCTGTAACGGCTACAATACGCCGAATACCCTTTGCAATCCCGGACTCTTCTGTGACTATGAAATCTGTAATGTCACCAGTCTTCATGACATGACTAAACATAGAATGAGTGATCTATTCCTAGGAATAAAAAACATTCTCACGTTCCACCACAGAGCTCGATGCTTGTCGATCTCCACTTCGGGTTGCTAATATCTGTAATGATCTCGTCGACATCGAAGCCTAGCGATACAACGCGGACAGGATCAGGATACGCCTCGCCAAAAACTGCCCTGAGCCCGGGAATACTTTGAGCTACGCGCAATCCAACTTCTTTGCTATAGACGGGCACATTACGTCGAATCCAATCTCGGCTCATCTCTTCAATCCTAGTCAGTTCTGATGCAGGTATTTGTGCCTTATGGGAGAAATCGAAGCGAAGCTTAGTAGGAGCGACGAGGGAGCCCTTCTGATCAATATGATCCCCTAAAACATCACGGAGACAGAAGTTCAAAATGTGTGTCGCGGTGTGATTGTTGCGTAGTGGCCATCGTCTTAGCTAACACTCCCCCATTAACCACAAACGCAGACTAGCCGGCAAGATGTGGACAGACCTCATCATATGACGATATCACCTCGTTCCCAACTTGCAAGTCGCCGTACTTGAGATGACCAATATGCAAGACATACCCGTTGAAAACTTGGACGTTAGCAACTTCGAATTCGGCGACGCCATCTATAATAATGCTTCCAGTATCAAACTCCTGACCGCCCGATTCGGCGTAGAAGCTAGTGCGATCGAGGACAATGCCAAAATCCTCATCGCGTGATGTGGTCGATGTCGAGGTCACGAAAGATCTGTTCGAGTATATTGCCACAATGTGGGCGATGACATTCCCGGGCACTGGGTGGGTTTGAGACAATGTATTCGTTGATATGGGATATTCACATACTATATTTAGTAGTATCATCCGTCTTCGCTACACCGAGTGTCTTCTCCAACTCTGCGATGTCATGAACATCAAGCTTGATAGCCTCCTTGTCACCCTTTTTCGGATTCGCCTTGCTGGCTTCTTTCGATTGTGCCTGAGCCGCATCGAACTCTTCGTCATTGACGTTGAGACCAAGTTCATCCGCCATTAGACGCGTCAAGTCAACTGGGAATCCGTAGGTATCGTAAAGTCGCCAAACATCTTTCCCCGATAGCTCACTCCTTCCTTGTTGCTTGACACGAGATACGTACTGATCGAACAACCTCTCTCCGCGATCGAGTGTACGAGAAAAGGATTCTTCCTCTTCATTCAGAATTTCTTGGATCTCCTCTGTTCTTTTAGTAATTTCTGGAAATACATCACCCTTTAAACGTCATTAGCAATCAAGCAATAACACTGGGCACCAGATAACAGACCAGCTGTTGAATGACGGTGGGCATCAAAGATGAGAAGAAAGTCCCGATGTTCACTCCAAATTTCTTCCGCGCATAGCGGCACCCTCTGCGCAAAATACGCCTAAGCACGTAACCGCGTCCAACGTTGTTAGGTACACCTCCATCGCTGAGCGCGAATGTCAGTGTTCGTACGTGATCAGCGATGACGCGGTAGGCAGTGTCTACTCCATCCTCATCATCAGCTCCGAACTTTCCTTGGTATGGCCTAGCGCCAGTCAGCTCCTGAATTCGAGAGAAAATTGGGGTAAAGATATCCGTGTCATAATTGGAGCGTTTTCCTTGGATGATGGACACCAAACGCTCAAATCCCATGCCAGTGTCCACGTGTTGGGCGGGCAGTACTCTAAGAGAACCGTCATCTTCCCTGTTATATTGCATGAAGACGTTGTTCCAGATCTCCAAGACGTCAGGATCGTCCTTATTGACAAGATGTGCAGCGTTTCGACCGCCGATGCGATCGAAATGGATCTCGCTGTTCCATGAATACACATTACACAACAGAAGCATAGAACTACACACCTGCATGGTCCACATGGTCCAGTAGCTCCCATTTCTAAACCAGCCACCTTGTGAATGACAACTCTGATCATGGGATTCAAGCTCACCCCAAAAGTTATCCTTAGCATTTCCAGGCAAAATATGATCCTCAGCGATCCCTTGCGCGATCCAGAATTTCCGTGCTTCGTTATCAGCATCAAGCCCGTTCAAGGGATCTCCCTCGAAATACGTTACATAAAGTCGATCCTTCGGAAGCTGATAAACCTCTGTCAAGAGCTCCCAGGAGAATGCAATTGCTTCTCTCTATCCACTAATGGATCACGACTTGAATGGAAAAAGTGAACAATGTCGACTTGCCTTGAAATAATCACCGAAAGACCAATTACCGAGCATCTCGAAAAAGGTATGATGATAAGAATCCTTGCCGACATCTTCTAAGTCTTCGCACAACTTTGAGCACACACAATTATACCATATTCCCCAAACCTACCGTTGTGCTTCCCCCCTGCCCTAATGCACTTCTGGCTGTTGAAGGCGCGCCTGAGCCGCGCCAGCTCCGATTGTGGATCCACAGTACCAAGAAAAATGGATTTGAACTTGTGTAAAATCAATGGGTGTCATTTTCCCAGTTCCAAAAATTCTCACTTGATTCATTCCCGCGTTCGCAAACAGCAGCGTAGGATCTTCGTATGGGATGGTAGACGAAGACGGAACCATGGTGTGATTTTTCGACAGAAAAAAATTGAAGAATTCTTGCCGAATCTTTGCGGAAGACCACGCTGAGACTGTTGATGTCGCCATTGTTGCACAGGTGCGAAAAGAATGAGCGCGGACTCCCCGAAGGTCAAGGATGAATCGCATGCGAGTCAGATTGATCATTGATCAACAGCCGCCAGGCAGGACAATATGGTCACGTGCGTGAGCGAGGATAAAATCATAAACGATTGCTCAAATCATCTCGCGTAAGCGATATCGGCATATGCCGTATCCCAATCCGGACTGCTGCCTTACTTACAGCTACGGGCCACGGTACATCCACTTGCGGCGACAATCCTGAAGAAACGGTGAGTGAACAGACCCAACCATTATCATACACTGCTTTTTATGTCATTTGGAATACCCTGGACACTTTTGACGTCGTCAATGCTGCAATGAACCCATTGGAGGCTGGATGATATGCAAGGCCCTTGGATGAACTTCTAGCTGATTACGCTATCCATAGTGTTGACATTCGCCCCTCACTACTCGCAAGATGTCTCTCGTAGTCCCCGAAGCACATCAACAGTTTCAGGTAGAGCACCATTGTGTGCCATATCTTGAAGTCATCTACTCATTTAGCTGTAGCACATTCTTCGGCTCCTTAACACCAATGTTGACGGCAAACGCAAGATTATGTACGCATTGACGGAGATTAAAGGTGTCGGTCGCCGTTATTCGAATATTGTGTGCAAGAAGGCGGACGTTGATCTTAACAAACGGTGCGCTCATTCCTTTACGATACTATTGACTATTAAGCTGAGACACGCACAGTGCTGGCGAGCTTAACTCTGATGAGCTCGAGCGCCTCGTCACCATTATTCAAAATCCGACACAGTTTAAGATACCTACGTGGTTTTTAAACAGGCAGCGCGACATTGTTGATGGCAAAAACTCGCAAATTCTTTCAAATGGTGTTGATTCAAAGCTCCGCGACGATCTGGAACGGTTGAAGAAGATTCGGGCTCACCGTGGGCTAAGGCACTTCTGGGGTCTCCGAGTGCGGGGCCAACACACCAAGACTACTGGTGCGTTCGCTCAAAAACTTTCATTGATAGAATATTAAATCACCGATAGGTCGTCGCGGGAAGACTGTCGGTGTGTCGAAGAAGCGCGGTTAGATACTTGCAAATGTCGTATGCAATTGTATCTATTTCTCGCAGTTTCAGTATATGTGATATATGCATCTGTGTTCGCCATGCTATTGGGCAATAGTACAATGAATCATCCCCAAGGCTTCACCCGCTTTGAACGATTGATTATGCAAAGTATATATATTTTCCAGTCCGCTGCGAGCGATCAGCCTACGCGTCGCACGCATTGAACTCGAGCTTGGTTGCTTGATTAGCAGACGTCAGCGTAGCTCCGTTCACGTGATGCTGCGAGGTTCATGGCTGCTACTAGAACACTCTCGTTCGCTCGCCTCCTCGAGATACTTAAGTTATGTAGAGTCCTAAGTATAATCGGGAAATGTCCCTGGTACCAGTACCCCACACGTGCACCTTTGCTAAAGCATCTCAGAACGATAGTACTCGTTCGTCAATCTCCTTCGCGATGGCTACTTGGACATATCCTACCGACATGCACCCTTGGTTTCGAACACCGTCTCTCAAACGCAAGTTGACCGATGTCAATGTTTCTGTTGTTGCAGAGCATGGTTCTACTACACCACCGCCCACTGTGTGTCATAAGCGACGCAGATGTGATGTGCTGGAGCGAGGGCTCGCGCGACTGACATTGGCGGCTTGTTGCGATAGGCCCACAGATTCTGTATCAACCAACTGCGACCCTAATCGCGCATCTGGCCTAGGTCGAGCAGCGTCCAGCTCTGCCTCTGCAATCGTGAACAGCGTGGAACCGTCTGCAGGTCTCCCAACACCATTGACCGAACCTTCACTTCTACCCACGGCTCTAGATCTGCCTTCAATTCCCATTATCTTTCCCAGTTCAGTCGATGAACCTACGTCTCCTGGCCACGTGAATGATCAGCCGGATGTGCACATGAAGATTCCGTCATGGTATGAGGTGGAGAAAGATCGTACGTTAAATTCACCGTGCTGCAGGCTATGATAGATGCACCCTAACAATTGAACTAGGCATTGTCATCACCGAGTTAGAGGACTCCGACCTGGAGGAGGATCTATCCACCTCAGACGAGTTGTTCATCTCTCCTGCGCTCCTCGGTCGTCTACCAAGGCAGCTACTATCCCTACCCTCCCGTGCGCCAAAAACCGACTCAAGCAGAGCCTTGGTATTATTCAAGCCCCCCATTATCGCAGAACCGTTCTCCAGAGAGAATAAGAATAAGGTGGACGAGGAAGATGAAGCAGCTGGCAATAGGCAGGACACGGACGCGGACACTCCGATGGACATCCAAGCGGATGACGATAATGATATGGAAATAGAGTTGCTTTGATATATGTGGATCCATCCATGTGCCCAACACTAGTCAAGCAGAATTTTGCAGATATACAAGCATTCTTCAGACGTACGGACATAAAGAATACAACCGAAGACCTAACACAGCGACGATAAACGAAAAAAGAGGTAAAAATTTGGGCGTTATTAGAAGACGATGTGGATGGAATATTCCAATACAGAAACGTCGACGAGTTCATGGACACCTGTGAGGATGGCAGTTATCTTGACGTAGACCCCGGGTTATTCCCGAAATGTAATGACGCGGATGACCTGCTCTGAATGTCGCCCTTGAGAGACTCAGTAGCCAGGCCAATAACGCTTCGATCGTCGGAATACAACCTCTCAGCGTTGTTGACATACGAATGATGATGGCGAGCGTGAGCATGAGGATGTGGGACGTGATGCATTGGCGCTTGCGCATAAGGTGCACGAAGGCTGATCGACGAAGGCGAGGTGACTGTGTTGGAGGACACAACCGGTGCGTGTCCGACTGCACTGGGAGGTGAGGTGGTTCCCATTTGACGAGGAAGATCGCGGTGGGAGTGATCGCGCCCTTGATGCACGTGTTCACATGCTTGCAGAGTGTCCTGAACATTGGGATGAGGCGAGAGCGGAGTAGGTGTTGTGGGATGAGGAATGTTGTGATGATATCCCACATTAAGCAGGTTGATCGACCCCGCACCGTGCCCAATAGGGATATGCTGTTCGTACTGAGATCGTGTCGGTACATGATTTTGTAGGTGGGGGCGCTGCGACGATTGGGGCTGGACCTGTGGTTGAGATTGCAAGAATGCATGAGAACGAGCTTGTTGGTGGGAAGACACCGATTGCGTAGAGGGTTGCTGAATCTGAGGGCGAGGTTGGATGGGAGGCTGAACTACAGCAGTAGTTGCCTGAGTAGGCTGGTTTTGCGATGCTTGAGGCGACAGTACAGGTTTTGCCTCGGAGGGACTATCTACCGACATTTCAGCCTCTTTGTCAAAGTCCTTGTCGACGAGGTCGGCATCTTCGTCCTCACCGTTCTGGGACGCAGAAGCGGAAGGCCCAGCCTCGGCTGCCTGTGTGGCTTTTTGAGCAGCTATTTCGTCCGCAGTGAGGAAACGACCACCGGGACCACGAGGGCGACGCATGGCATGTTTGTGACGCGATTCGTGCAGATAGGGCTGCACAATTTAGAGGTGAGCTATGGGTAGAAAATGAGTATGCGCCATCGCAAAGCAGCACACCTTTCTCTGTCTGGAAAGTCTGTGGAGCTCCTCGAGGCGGGCTCGAGCAACGCGTCTTTTGAGAATGCGATAATATTGCTTCGCATTCACGTAAAGCGGTTCCTCGTCAAGTGGAGGATCGTCTTGGATTTGATCGACAGAGGGGTCTGGTTCGCGATGATCGTGAGGAGTAGCATCTGTGGGCGGAAGTTGATGAGAAAGAAACAAATTATGAGGGGAGTGAGGGATGGGGGTGGAGGAAGGCGACGGGCGGGGAGAAGGTTGGCGAGAGGGGTGGGGAGGTGGGTAGAAGTTGTAGAGGTGATGTTGGTGATGGGCTGTAAAAGATTGATGAGCAAAAACAAGATGCAAGGGATAGCGAAAGGCACAGACGATACGGATGGTAAGGATTTGGGTTGAAGAGCTGATCGACGGGATCCATTGCGGACTCGAGGAGACACCTGAGTGGACGAGCAGCTATTCACGCTGATTGGCCCTCCGCCCTGCATAAGGGAGGCGCCGTGCATCACGTGGTGCGCCCTCTCCCACGCGCACCGCGTCGCCTGCGCGTCGCGCCCGCAGTTTACACTCCCACTTCCATGGAGGCCAAATTGTAAGTGCCCCTGTTTCTCTTCCGCCTGTGTGCGCTCACTCATCCCGTCATAGGAAAGCACTCAAGGTCGTAGATCTCAAGGAGATAATCTCGGCTGCCAGTCTTGCCGTGCCAAGCAAATCCAACAAGCAGGATCTCATCGCCCGTATCCTCGCGTCTCCTACTGCTCTCGACGTCTACAATGCACGGCATATTCCATCAAACCAATCCTTGAAGAAATCTCCTATAAAACAAGTCGTTCCCCCACCCTCAGACGATGTCCCGGTGAGTTACCATTTCTGTTCTCGCTGCTAATGCTCATACCAGTTGGGGTAGGCCGCAGAGTACGTCATCCCATGCCTTCTCCTATGTCCACATTTTCATCATTTCCCTCCAGTAATGAATCCATTTCGGAAGTGACAATAGCAGACTCGCCTTTGGCTACAGCTCCTGCTAGTTCAGCCAACTCTATGTCCCGACCATCCCCACCGTCACCAGTACGCATTCTCTCTCATTATACGAATTTTAATCTCAGCCTGTAGCATGCGAGCATTCTTGTGCCTATTGCGAGCCCTCCAAAGTCACCGGCTGGTGTCGTGTCGTCGCAGGACGAAGAACTCGAGAAACGCAAGGCTCGCGCCGCACGATTTTCTATTCCTCTTGTAGAACAGCCCAAACGTTCTCCATCATCCAATTTGCTAGGCCCCGCTTATCGCGTCTCAACAAAAGCCCTCATGAGTGCCTCTCTCGATGTGCGACTCGATCCATCTCTCTTATAGCTTCAACTCACCGTGAACACGCTTGTTTATAGGACCAGGAAAAGATGGCTGCTCGCGCCGAACGCTTCGGTACAGGACCGCCTGCATCCGCATCAATCATAGAGCGCGCAAGCCGTAAGAAAAGAAGTGCTTCCCTAATGGAAGCTGTGGACGCGGAAGAGATGGAGCGAAGAAAAAAACGAGCCGAGAGGTTTGGTTTATCGGTGGTGGTCAGCCGTATCTATCACTATCGCCGTATATTTCAACTCACATGCGGTGGTCGATATAACAGGGAACCGAAGCTTAACGTATGTAGGTCTTGTATTGATACATTCTTAAGAGTTGGCCCCTCGTAGAGGTTTGCGAAGCAATATGCGTTTTCTGCTGCATGATTTGATGTCGCCGATGTCCCGTGTCGTAGAGATTGTAATTCGGGCACAGTAAACTTCAATTGATGCGTACCTTGCTTAGTGAGTGGTACTGGTAATGAGTGGTCGACGTACTTTTTACAAGTGTATTGTGCTGAACGCCGCTTTTGCCTGGTGCAGTCGACATTTAAGTTTGAACTTTCAGAAGTAAAGCTGATTCCCCAATTGTCTACGGTCCCACAAGAAGTCTAATTGGCAGTGGTTCGGACTGTTGTCCAAGCAAGGCACTCAAGAGCATCTTTGGCGCGACGCAGCGTCCCAGTGGCTTTCCGCCCACCGGAAACGCTCTAAAAATACATTTTTTCGGATCGAGAGACCGCTGCAGAAAAATACATGCAGAAACTATATGGTAAGGGAGGGTGGTGCGATCCTCGATTAGCTACGAGAAAGAGAGGGCGCTCTCCTATGTCTCTACCAAGCGCGGTGCGAGTCGAATCTCACTGGTTGCCCTTCCGGTCAAGCAGAGACTGCGTAAGCTTCCAGTATTAGGAGCATTTTAAAACGATTCTACCGGGCGCGGTAGTTTTGAGGCTTGTAGTCCGTCAGCCCCACACCAATTAGATTTGCGAAAATAAAATATTTAAGCTCAATGAACTAAGAATCTTAGTCAGAACGGCCACACAGACTATAGGCGGCTGCTCACTGATTACAAACGCGGTCACGTGTATAGCGGCACAATCGCGGCGTTGAACTTGGAAGTCAAAGTTAAACACCGTGTTCAGTTGAACTATTCGGTATACGTCTTTCAGGTCACTACCTGCAATAAGTACCACAGGGCCGAAGTACTACTAACTGTCTACATATACCGTATCGCATCGGCATGCGTCCACGCTCGATTCCGAATATTATAGAGGTATGCTTTCTTTTAGATGTCGCGCTAGGTGTTCACGGATGCTTATGATACCTCAGTGCCAATCTATGGTGGCTTATGAACAAGAATTAGCAGCGCTTCGTGAACCGATTTCTCTGCCCGAATCAGAAGAAACATGGGATGCCATTGGAGACGCGCTCATGCGTTTTGCAGCTCTGTCTCGTGGAAATGGTACAAAATATCCTCAGGAAACCATTGTTACCCTGCGATCCGTGTCTCGGTCTCTTTGCCAGGCTGCTAATTCAGAACGATCTCGCTTGTCCGGAATCGCCCTGGACCTCTTTAGTACCCTTGTCAGCGTCATGGATCGTTCATTTGAGTCGCTGATTCCGCTTTTCCTGCCTACGCTCCTTGCTCTATGCGCGCGTTCCAACAAGGTGTTCGTCTCTCGAGCTCGATCCTGTCTCCTTTCCCTCATTGAACATACTCGCTCCCCCACAATACTCCCTTATCTGGCCGAATCATCCAAGGATAAAACAGTTTCCCTACGTATTGCTGCCGCAGAAGGTATCTTGGCTTGCCTAAACTGTTTTAATCCACCAGATCTCGAGAAAGAGCCTCGGGCCCGTGAGGTAGAAGCAATCATTAGATCAACTGCTACTGATGCTAGTGCAGACGTTAGAAAAATTGGACGCCAGATATTTGAAGCGTATAGAGTCCTTCTACCCCAGCGATTGGATCGGTGCGCCAACCACATGTGGCAAAGCGTTGAACACATTGTATTCTGACTATTTACCATAGATTCACTCAGCCTCTTACCCCCACGATCAGGAAATATCTTGATATTAAACCCAAGCCTGCATCACAAGCTCAATCCAATCCCCCCAGTCGACCGCCGTCCTCACAGTCAATTAATTCACTGCAAGGTGCATCATCTGAACTCCACTTCTCCTCCTCTACGTCGGCTTTATCGTCTGGTACCAGAGAAACTGCCACAAGGGGAGCTCATCAAACTGCATTCCATGTACGATCGGCGTCTGTGCTAGGAATAGCCAGAGAAGCAAGTAACTACCCACGCAACAGGCCAGGGGAGAAGGGTAAATCCTACACCACTAAGACTTCTACGGTACGACCACCGCCCACGCGACATATAGCGGTGCAGCCGCCCCAGCGATCCGTAGGGAAAAGCACAAAGGGCATGCCTCCTCCTGACTTCGTGCCCAAGCGGTCCGCCCAGGAAATACGTAAAACGGGAACGTCCGAGATTCTGACTGGACAACCGGATAATCTACATGCAATTGAACACTCAACAGGGGCTGTATTGCACTCCGTTTCGAGTACATCTGGAACGCAGACTTCTTGTTCACGTCCCGGCTCTTCGAAGATTGATAGCACTAGTGGGGGGCCGACCCGCATGCCAACAAAACAAGACGTACAACCTCGTGCCCAAACTGGTCCTATCCGGCCTACATCTATCGAGGCCCAGAGGACACAGCAAGAAGCGGTGGAGAGGAAGGAACGCGTTGTTGGCGGTGCTAGGCGTGTGTTGGTTGTGTCGGAACTGTCGTCAGTGTCGTCAACATCGTCGGCGTCCAAAACTGAGAGCAATCAACAGAAAGTCCCATCCAGAGGGCCTGGTCGCAAAGTGCGACAGAATAGCACAAGCAAAATCGCGGAAAAAGCGAAGCCGCTGCCACTGAAGGACTCAGAGACACGTAGTCGCGAGACAGTCTCGAAGAGTAGGCAGCATTCTGGAGGGACAAGAAATCTTGGGCAAGCAACCGCCCCGATAGTAACTCAAGCCGGAGACAAAGTAATGACCGTCAACGCCCCACGAACATGCGCTCCGACACCCTTGTTAGACTCTGCCACGGAGAATCTCGACGTTATCAAGCCAGCATTGGTACCTTTGCCTCCATCTCCGACTCCCACGGAAATTGTCGACCCTATCACTCCAATGCGCACTTCTGCTCGCCTCCCCGGTGTATCGTTGCCTGCTCAGACACCGATCTCAGCCCTTGTGGCTGATATACAGGGAGGTTTCTTGTGCCCGCCGTCATCACCACTCACTCCAATCCCCCCCTTACCATCGGAGACTAATTTGCACAACCCCCACTTACCCTTGTGGAAGCCCTTGAGGCCCATGAGCAGAGCAACGGCGCCCGCTCGTTTCGATAGTTCACCGGAAACCATACGGCTCAACTCGGTGGTACGCTTACCGACTGAAAAGCCCAGATCGACACTGGAAGAACTAGTGATAAATCTCTGAAGGTGATAGTCGGCTGCTGGCACTAGCTATAGCAGACGGGAAGGTCTATGGGGTTCGAATTGACAACACGGATTTACATATCTGCGTGCGTTGTAGGCTTATGTAGTGCATTAAAACGGGATGGTTTCATCAACAGCTGTCAACAGACTACGAGTCTGAGCTGCTAGAAAATCAGAGGTGATTGTGTTGGTACATCATACAACACGACGTACCTCTTCATGCCTCTAGTGCGTCAAGAATCGTCTGCCCTTGGCCCTCCGCCTGACAAGTATTTTTCGGCCCGAAATGCTCTTCTTTCTGGCAAGGAACCCATGTTTGCGTTTCCTCTTTCGCTGTGACGGCTGATATTCGGCCCCCCGGGAACTGTATCGGACTTGCTGCAGAGCAGTGAGGATAGCGGAGGGCGTGCTCGACCTGTTGAGAAGACATAAATTTGTCGACAGGCGGTTGGAAAAGAATGTGGATATTGTGGAGGGTGCGCAGACGGTAGAAAACGTCGCAGCAATGGGAGGACGGGCAAGGAGGGCGGGAGGACTGGAGAGTAATCGCAACAGTTGGAGGGGAATGCGGGGCATACTGCGTTAGAGCTCCTTTCGGTCTGCAAGGACGCAGAGACAATGACAGGAGAGTATTGCTCAGGTCACCCGTGACGGCAGGCGGACAGACACGCTAGATGAAAAGTTGAAGAGGCCTTGCAGTAGCGCGCGACCGCGCATGGGCGTCTAATAAAGGACTCCGATTTGAGGTCTGCTCGTGTTCACGTCTTCCGTTTTCTTGTTGCCAAAGCTCATGCTCGGCCATGTCCACGCCAACTCCTGGAAAGGCTCGTCAGTCAGGAATCCCAACGCCAGGTAAACCGAGTGGTCTTCCGACGCCAGGTCGACTGCGATCCACATCCTCTGCTACTCAACTTCCCCCCCAATCCCAAGACGAAGAATATATCACCAGAGCATTTGCTGATGCGATCAAAGCCAATGACCCTGCCCAGCACCGTCCCGCACGTTCTAGTGACGTGTCTTCCGCCTCACTTTCGCCTTCATCTCTTGTTTATCCCCCTCAAAGTGGCAGGCGATCCGTCGCAGGCCGGCCATCTTCTGTAGCATCCTCCTCGTCTGCGGTGAGCTCTGCGCCCTCTCGTACGCCTAACCAGAACACCAGATCCATCACCGCGCGTCCTCCCAGCCGTCAATCTGATGCTTTTGTTCGGAGCTCAAGCCGTACTAGTGGGACATTTGAAGTGGGCGACAGTGTTAGGATTGAGTCCCTCGGTTTCGAGGGTACACTCAGATTTCTTGGAGAGATAGACGGAAAGCCTGGTCATTGGGCTGGGGTTGAGCTAAGTGGTGGCTTTTCTGGGAAGGGGAAGAATAATGGCACTGTAAATGGGTAAGTTCTTATCCTCTTTTCAAGTGTAAGGGACAGTTAGTCCGCTGGTCTTATACCTATCGCAAATGACGTGTCCAGTTACCCTCCCTGATTACATGTTTCTCATGTTTCAGCACCAGGATGAAAGTGCTGTTCTTCACATCCGAGCAGTCGAGCCATGGGCTTCGATGTTGGTATACTGTATATAATGGCGAATGTCACTTCGCTTAGCTGCCAGAAGTTTCCTGCCTTTTGTCCGCCAATTGCTCATACAATATTCTTTGAAGGAAACAATACTTTGCATGCCCTCCTAATTGCGGTGTGTTCGTAGCTACGACGAAACTCTCGCCTCCTACTACCGGCGTCCATTCTATGTCGCGTCCATCCTCTGTTGCATCGTCACGGAATGGACGAATAACGCCTTCGGTGTCGATATCGGGTCGAATCACGCCCTCCCAATCTACAGTTTCCACAGGTCGTAAAACGCCGTCGGCCTCCACCTCAAGCGGGCGGATCACCCCCTTGACTAATGGCCGAGTTACACCGTCGACCATTGCAGGACGTCGGACACCCGGGCTCCCTCCTCCTGCTTCACGCTCTCGACCCACAAACTTTGGTCGAGTAAGTTCCGCGGTAACTCCCATCCGGAAAGGTTCTACTTCCACCGCCATCACTCCGGGTTCTCGTGCCTCAAAGTATGTGGGTATGACGGCCAGGCAGCTTGATTCACGTCAATCAGGGGCTGCAAGTCCTTCACGCGGATCGGCAAGTTCAAATAGCCCACCACGATCTTCAGGGTACTCGTCTCCTATGCACGGCCTTTCCTATGCTTCCTCTCCAACACGAATAACCTCTTCACCATTTACAACACCGAAAGCAGTATCTAACGGACGCGCATCAAATATAGGTGTCGGAATGCCATCGACAACACCATCGAAGACTCGCCCATCATTCAATACACCACGAGCAAGGATACCAAGTGCCATTGCAATGCCACCACCCGCATCCCCCTCTTTACCTCAGTCAGCTCGCTCCGTATCTCTAAGCGACCGTGATCATCATTTGCAGGAACAAGAACTCGGCTCAATATCCGATCTAAGGATGAACGGCAAAGCTCTAGAGGACAAGATTGCGGAGCTCATGTCAGGCAGGATTCCCTCTGGTTCTATAAGCAGGCCCAGCTCGTCGGCATCTGTACAATCGAGCCACGCGAATGCGGATATGCAGGGGCAGTTGAACCAACTCCAAACTCGGCTGGATTCTCTCGAGAATGAGAATCAACAATTACGATGTGCAGCGACGGAGGATCAGGACAAAACTGCTCGCTTGGAGGGCGTTCTAGCTGAACAGAAACAGAGTGCGGCGCGCATAGTCGAGTTGGAGGCAGCAGTCAGAACGACTGAGCGGTCACTTAACGAACGAGAGACGATGATTGAGAGCCTAGAGCGTGCTGCACAGCAAACCACGTTGGACATTGACAAGGTCCGAAACGACGCTGAGGCTAGGACGAGGGATATTCAATCCAAGTTGGATGACAAGGAGGCCCTTGTAGCCAATCTCAAAGAGCTCATTGAAGCTAAGGAGGGGCTTCAATCCGAGAATGACGCCGTCTTGCGAGCCAAGGACGCAGAAATCACACTATTGGAAGCTCGGGTGCAGAAGGCATACACGGAGCTTGAGGAGGAGAGAAAGGAGCTAGGAAGCCAAGTAGACGAGTTGCGGAAAGCGGGACAAGTGGGTCCGCGTTGTCTCTACTCCTGCGATGTGCTGATGTTTGTGGCAGGAAACTATCGCGCTCTACGAGGAGCGTTTGAGCGCAGCCGACAGCCAGCGTTATGAGTTAGAGGATATGATAGCGTCTCTAGAAGAGCAGCTTCGTGCACAAGCTCAGCCACCGTCCCCTACCACTGCGCAGCGACAAGCTGCGACTGCGGTCGAGATTGACAATGAGGCTCTCCGGGAACAAGTTCAGCATCTACAGAAAAGGATTTCCCTACTGGAAGATCAGTTGGAGGAGGCTCAAACAACATTTGACCGAGAAGAAGCAGCAGTGCGCGAACGGGTGAAGCGGTATAGGGAAAGAGAAGAGAACATCAAGAAAGAACTCAACGATGCTAAGAAAGAGACCGACAGGGTGATCCAGTCTGAAGAAAATGCTCGCCATCGAATCGAAGAAATGGAGGAAGCTTTGAGGGAGAATACGGTTGCCCTAGAGAACGCGAGAGCGGACATCGAGACTCTTCGCCACGAAGTTTCGGTACGTCCACTGTTTTCATCTCGTAGAAAAATATTGACCTGATTGTCCTGCAGGATCTGGAGGGCATTGCAAGCGGGGTAACCTCAAGCAACTCAGCTGAGAAGATTACGGAAGTGATGCAACGGTCCGCTAGTGATAAGGCTCGGTTGACGGAGGAGATCGCGCAGCTCAAACAACAATTAGTTAATGCGTTGTCTCGAGAAATTCAAGGCCCCTCTGGGGAGGCATCGGGTGATCTTAACACCAGTCTCAGCGATCTCCGAGCCGAGACCGAACTAGTGGGTTCTTACTGCATATATCAGTTGTGTACCGGTCTGATGCCCCAGTGCAGTTGCGCAGACTTTGTGAAGAGCGTCACATCGAGCTTGAAGCCGAACGCAAATCAACAGACGATTTGCGCGCACTTCTTCAGGAACGAGAGGCAGAACTCGACACGGTCCGTAGGAAGCTCAATCGCGATGTTCCGGTGAATGGCGTTGATAGCACCAAGACCACGTTGCCGTCCAAATACGATCTCGCAGCCGCACGGGAGGAGATTACTGGGCTTAAGTACGCTTTTTATCACTTTACAGCTAGAGGATTCACACCGAATGTGATTTTAGACATATTGTTCAGGAGCTGCAAAAGGAGAATTCGGCTGCTGCTCAAAGGAACAAGGTGCTTGAATCTGAGAATAGGTTGCTGTTGTCCGAAACCGATCAGCTGCGCGAGGTAGTTCAATTTCACGGATATTGTTGAGCGCCACTAAAGTTGCGGCTAGGACCTCAAAGCACTTGAGGAAAACGTGGAACAGAGTATTCTTCGCGAGGAGCAGGCACTGGCATCGGCAGACGGCACAGCCCCTGATGATGTTGTCGCGCTACAGAAGAAATATGAGGTGCGAGCGTCGATTCAGCTTTACGGATAGGCCTAACGATTGAATTTAAAGACCGAGCTGGAACAAGTGCGCAAGAAGCTCATGGAAGCAGATATGAAGAGCGCACGAACAATCCATGATGTAGGCTGTGTCTTGATGCATATGTCGGCGGTGTTGACGGAACCACTTGCAGCTCAACAAGGAGATTGGCGAACTGGAGACGTTGATCGAGTCCAAGGTGTGTGCATTTTCTACGCTTTTTGATAGCTGATGTGGAAATTTTATTCGCCATAGATCTACCGAGAAGTGCGCTACTATTATTTCTCATCTGGATAGGTGCTAATGGTCCAAATTGTATTCTTGCAGGACGAGCTCGAACGCGAGCTAGAACGACTGAAAGATAAACTCGCTCGCACCCAAAAGAAGTCGTCGAAGACGTCCAGCGGTTTGCCTTCCGACGACCGGTCTGTCAGCTCGAAGAGATCTACAGGCGAGATGTCTGCAGAGTCGACGCAGGAAGTCTGCGAGATCTGCGAGCGGCCTGGACACGACATCTTTACATGCGACCTGCTGAAAGAGGAAGCTCCACCCTTATCTTTGTCCACGCCAACATCGAGCGAGGAGCTGTTCTGCGAGGACTGCGAGGAACGCGGGCACACAGCAGCGAATTGTCCACATTCACTGGACGTCTTCTGATAGGTCACTCCTTAAACCCGAAGTTTTTATTCGTTCGTTCATCTACCCGACCCCGTACATTATACTGCTTTTCAGCGCTTCCACTACCCTCATTTCTACTCCATTTCTACTCAGATACGACGATTATTCACGTTCGTTTCATATCGATTATACCCTCGCATTGTACTTTGAGTCATGCTTCCCTTTCGTTTATTGGTGTCTAGCATATAGCCATACTTTATGATCATAATGCAGCTAGAGGAGTGAGGTAGCTCCTTCCATCAACTCAGGTTCACCGACAAGTGCATCACTTGGCAGGCCGTCAGTCGATCGCCGACACGATAAGCATCTGCCGTGTCCAAGTTCCAAATTACTGCAAGTTGCTGAAAACCTCAATTTCGAGTCGCGGGCTCAACCAAAATCCTTACCACAGACCAGAGATATGGATATCTATAATGCACTGTGCTCCGGATCACTCGGAGGGTCAGGGCTGTCGGTAATCCGAACGGTGGATATGCATACATCAGGCGAAGTAGGCAAATCACTTACTGGGCCGATCGTCTGCGGCACTCACACCTTTGCTCATATGCTGGCTACACAATGCACAGCCGACACGCATTGTAGTGTCAGGCTATCCTGAATTGAAAGGGCAGACGTTGCTGGAGAAACGTGCATACGCGCGAGAGAAACTGGACCATCTACGGACCCGGTAGGTACCAAGACGTTTGCAGTATATTATGTACTACACAGTTCTCGCCATTGATTATGCTGCAGGTTGATGTGGGAACCACGAGGCCACCGAGACATGTATGGAGCATTGCTCGTGCGCGAGACTGAGCTGGTACAAGCGGGGGAGGCTGACATCGGGGTGTTGTTTACCCACAACGGTACGCTAGCCGCACTCTCCCTGAGGATCCTTCCTGAGATAGATTTGGCAGAGGGCTACTCGACGATGTGCGGCCACGCGACTATCGCGCTCGGACGGGTCCTAGTTGACACCCACGACGAGGCCATCTTCCCGCAGCGAGAGCAGCTTGCGTATGACGAAGGGAAGGGGGAGACGGAGGTGCGCCTGCACGCGCCGTGCGGAGTGGTACGCGTGGCGGTGCCGACGGTGCGAAATGCCAACGGAGTACTTGTTTCTGACGGAGGGCGGCGTGTGCGATTCGTGAGCGTGCCGAGTTTTGTGTCAGCGCGCGATGTGAAGGTGGAGGTCCCAGAAGACAAACGGTGGAAAACGCTGAGAGAGGCGGGCCGGACAAGTGTGCGGGTGGATATTGCGTTTGGGGGTGCATACTACGCATTTGTGAGTGCGCAAGAGCTGGGGTTCGCACGGGGCCTGCGAGGAGGGTACGAGATGAAAGAGCTGGACGAGGCGAGTCGGACGGTGAAGGAGTTGGTTCGGGGGCGGGGGAAGTTGTTCGAGCATCCGACGGAGAGGGCATTGGAGTACATATATGGGGTGATCGTGACGGAAGAGGATGGGCTGGGGCTGTGTTTCTTTGCTGACCAGCAGGTGGACCGGTCGCCAACAGGCTCGGGAGTGAGCGCACGCGTCGCGTTGGAAATTGCGGGAGGGACGATGGCGGAGGGCGAGAGGAGACAGTTTGAGTCGGTGGTGAGCATCCGAGACGCAACAGGGGCAAGCGGATTCGTGGGCACGGCGGTGAAGACAGAGAGGGTGCGCGGTGTCGGGGGGCGGGAGTGGGCGGCGGTGCGGGTGGCGGTGGAGGGGCGGGCGTTCTACACGGGTGCACACGCGTTCGTCGTCGAGGGCGGGGGCGGGGGC